TGCTAAACGAGTTGAGCCAAGCGGAGCCGAGCAGAGCCTTCACAAGCTTACACGAGCTAATCTTGAGCTCACATTACTGTTGATTTATTCGAGCCAAGCTGGCACGTTTATTGAACGACCACGAGCTCAAACATGAGGTACTCGGCTTGGCTCAGCTTGAATAGCACCCTTTTCATTCTTGGAGAAAGGGTGATTAAGGTATAACAGTTCATGAAGCGCCATATGAAATTTGATTTGTTTTGTAAGGTGAAATGTGGCACCACTGGGAAATCAATATGCGTTTTTCCATTACGGTCATTGAGCAGTTCCATGCTACATTATGTTTCATTTTAATTTTATTTTTGTTCAGATGCATTCGACACAGAGCAATTATTGTGCATATTGGAGAAATTAAAACGTGGTCAGGCAGTTGACATCCCAAAATATGATTCCAAGAGCTATAAAAATGACGTGTTCCCAGCTCGAAGAGTACTTTTCCGTATACTCCTTTTGTAAATTACTCTGCTTTTATTTCAATCCATTGGTCATATTAATTCTCCTAATTTGGCAGGTAAATCCGTCAGATGTTATTATTTTAGAAGGTATTCTCATCTTCCATGATCCGCGTGTCCGGAATTCAATGAATATGAAGATATTCGTCGATACAGGTTCATTTTATTCCTTTCACTATTATTTGCTTGTTTTTAAATGTGTATTTCTACACTCAATGTCAGACGAGAAATTCATTTTCTATATCATAATTCTGAAAATTCGAGTCTGTATAGTGTAAACAATTATTGTTATAGAATCAATTTTCTTTGGGATTCTTGATGTATTAGACATAATTGATCAGCGACTTGAAAGAGCTTGCTCTAAATTCGGAACATATAATCACTTCCTAAATTTATCTTAACCAATATGAAATACCTTTACTTGGACAAGTTACTGCTATGTCTGCAATGTTAGAGCATTATTTATACGTTATCATGCACCTGTAGAAGGCGAATGTATTATGGCATTAAGTTTTCTGTTTATTGTTTCTCTTCTCTATCTCCTCGATTTTGCTGGTTTTATAACTGTGAGGGAGTGCAATCGGTGATGAGGCACTTATTGTACTTGTTTGTGTGATATTTAATAACAAAGATTTTCCAGTGCAGATGCTGATGTACGGTTGGCAAGGAGAATAAGACGTGATACAGTAGAAAAGAATCGAGATATTGGTATGGTGCTTGATCAGGTATTAAATAGCTCATTTTCCTACATTTCCATATCAAACTTCCATCAAAACAAATCTTGTGTTGTTTACGGTACCCTTTTTTATCCTTTAATTATACTGATGATGTTTTTATATGTTTTGCATCTTAATTTCTGTACTTCAAAAATTCCTTTTTCATTTTTTCTGATTCTCCATCAACTGATACATGTATGTATCTATGATCATTGGCTTTTATCTTCATGCAGTACTCAAAATTCGTAAAGCCTGCTTTTGATGATTTTATACTCCCAACCAAAAAGTATGCTGACATCATCATTCCTCGTGGTGGAGACAATGCTGTTGCAATCGACTTGATCGTCCAACATATACGAACTAAACTTGGTCAACATGACCTGTGTAAAATCTATCCTAATTTATATGTTATTCATTCAACTTTTCAGGTATTAATTCATTTCTTGCTAACTTTACGCTAGTGAGAACTTACTCTGTTTTTTCTCTGCATACTACTGTATCTTGTTATTTTAATTTCCCTCTAAATCTGATGTTTTTTGTCTTAATCCAGATACGGGGTATGCACACACTTATACGTGATTCTCAAACGACAAAGCATGATTTTGTGTTTTATTCTGATCGGTTGATCCGCTTGGTATGTGTTGTTGTTTCTATTTATGCTGCTATCCACCACCATTTTTCTTTTCCCATAAGGATGATTAGTTTGGGTGGGTTTTGCTTATTTTATGGAATTTCATGTATATTATTAGGTTGTTGAACATGGTCTTGGGCATCTGCCATTTACAGAAAAGCAGGTGATCACTCCAACTGGTAAGCCAATATGACCAGTTATTTGCTATTTGTGCTTAGATTTTTTAAGTACTATATCTTGATGAACTTGAGAAATTTTTGTCTTAGCCAGGTGTTGAGGGTGTGATTCGGATTGGATATTCAGTCATTTGGGTTTTATTTTTACATTTTAATTGGAGAAAGAAGATCAAATGGTAGAATTTATGATTTTAGAATATTAACTGACGTAATATAAAGAATAATTAGTTAATTATGATGTGATAGAAAAATAGTAAAATACTGATATGTAGTTATAAAAGTGTCAGTGGATGAATAGTAAATTTATTGATATATGTAATAACGATTGGTTTTTAAATTAAAAATTGTATTGGGAAAATTGGTGAGAGAAAAAAAAAAGTGATAATGATGAATATTGTAACTTTTTATTGATGCATGTTTATTTAGCTAGCTTTCAATTGTGCACCCTTAGGAACTGTCCTTTCCAGGTTTATGGAGTCACTGATATTGTTCTTAGGCCATCTCCAACCAAAAAACTCATATTCAAACCCATTTTGCAATAACTGTCCCATTTTGTAGTAATTCATCTTCAACTGAAAAACTCATTCTCAAACCCAAAAGAATATTCTCTTTTACATCACATTTTACAACTTTTCAATACTACCCACATATTTTACAACTTTACAAATTAAACCACACTACTATTTTAAATTCAATTTGGACTTTATGTAATAAAATTAATTATAAAATTATAATCATATACATAATAAAATCGGAGAAATAAATGCTCATTAAAAATTTTATTATCGTGATTGTGTAATGTTGTATTTAATTTCAGCCCCTGATTACTAATATTTCATTAGTGTATGTTATAATAAGGTTACTTAGATATTATTATATTTTTAATTTTATTTTTATTAGTATTATTCTCTATGCGTAAAATTTATATATTGTTATTTCATTATTGTAGGCTAATAATGTTTACTTAGATATTATTATATATTTTTTATTTCATGTATATTATATTTTTAATTTTTATTTCAAGTATATTATATTTTTAATTTTTATTTCATGTATATTATATTTTTAATTTTTAATAAGGTTACTGATATTATATTTTTAATTTCAAGTTTATTTTTATTATATTATATCTGTAAAAGAATCATATACTTTTATTTCATTAGTGTAGGCTAATAATGTATACTAACTACTAAGATATTATTGTATATGTTTACTTTCTTACTGGTATTGTTATCTGTGTGTTAAAAAATTTAAACAAAGTAGTTTGCTCGTAACGGGATTTCTTATGTTGTTTAATTTATTTTAATGTTAATAAATCATTAAGTCCGAGATTATATAAAAAATCTAAATATATAAGCTATATGCTATTTTGTTAAGGGGTTACGTTACAATTTTTAAAAATAAATGCGTTTGTGAACAGTAATACGCAAATATGCGTCCAGGATAGAGAGAAATTGAGCACAAACGCATTTTGCGTCTCTGTTTTGGTATCGGTAACACTTTTATGCATTTGGGTATGAGTTTGAGTATCGGTAGGACTCGGTGTTAGTGATCGAGCACTATTATGTCAACTTGTTTGGTTAAAGAAAACTCAGAGCAGTAATTATTTTTATTTTATTGGTCTCTTATTGCAGGATCTGTTTACACTGGAGTAGACTTCTGTAAGAGATTATGTGGTGTCTCTGTAATCAGAAGGTGAAAACAGAGAAAAATTTATTTCTTGGTTTTCTATTTTCTGAGACCTTGATTTTTTATTTTTTAATTTTGGTCTTTGAATTATTCAAATAAAAAAAATCAGTGGTGAAAGCATGGAGAATGCCTTACGAGCATGTTGCAAAGGAATTAAAATTGGAAAAATTCTTATTCATAGAGAAGGCGACAATGGTCAACAGGTTAGCATAATCAGCTCATAGTAGTATGTGACTCCATTTCCATTCTTTACTTTGATTTTAATTCCTAAAATTTATGTGGCAGCTGATCTATGAAAAGTTGCCAACAGACATCTCAGATAGACATGTACTATTGTTGGATCCGATCCTGGGCACAGGTCAGCCTATTCAATTTTTGGCAAAATTCACCCTTTGAACTAGTTTTTGTGTTAGTATGCCCATGTAATGAACTAGTTTTTTCAAAATGGCTCAATTAAATTCTAGTGCTTCTTCTATTAGTGAAGTTTCTAGAAAAAAAAAAATATATCAAACGGCGCAATGTACCTTGGGTCGCTACGGAAACAGCCTCCTTGTATAATTACAAGGGTAAGGTCTGCGTACAACTGACCCCCCAGACCCCAACCTGTTGGGGAATATATTGGGTATGTTGTTGTTGTTGTTGTTGTTGTAATGGATTTGTATCATCATTCAATATTAGACACCCTTCAAACATGTTTCTGTTTTACAAATTGCACCTAATTAGGGGATAATTTTTTAGGGCACTGGTAATACCACTGTGGAGTACTTCTAAACTTAAATATTAATTGATTATTTTGTAATTAAGNGTCACTGTGAATTTGTATCTTCAGGCAATTCAGCAGTTCAAGCTATTTCCCTACTTATCAAGAAGGGTGTGCCCGAGTCCAACATCATATTCCTCAACCTCATTTCTGTATGTATAATATTTGTTAAAAGTAAAACAATTTCCGCTTTTGCTCTTTTCTTATGCTCCTTTCCAAAATTCTTATGCTCCTTCAGGCACCTCAAGGAGTCCATACGGTGTGCAAATGTTTCCCACGTGTAAAGATAGTGACCTCTGAGATTGAAATTGGCTTGAACGAAGATTACCGTGTTATCCCTGGTATGGGCGAATTTGGTGACCGGTACTTTGGCACAGATGACGATTGAACCACAAAAAGTTTATGAATATGAAACACATTCATTTGTTCCAGGCAATACAAAAACTCGGTCCTCAATTTTGCAAAAATAAGATATTAAATTTTCATTCACAAAATGCAGAGAACTTTCATATTTGAAACGATTTTGACTATATATGTCCACCTCTTTACACGAGGTCATATGAACAGTGTCAAATTGGTGAATTAGCTCTCAATGATTTGTTTAACTTGATGCAAGTGATGTTTGTCTTTATGTGATAGAGGTTGTGTTGGCTGGGCTTCTTCAAGTTTGAAAGGTTCATGAATGAATTAACTTTGGGATGGGCATAATTGTGTTACATGACAACACAATTTTGCGGAAATTACAATTCTGGCGTATCATATATGAAATAAATATCAAAGAAAGAGGAATCTTGAAATACTGGAGTAAGCCAGATTAGTGAAAAAGGATATTTTAAATCTTTTCGCACTTGATAAATTCATTTCTATGTGCATCTCCAGAAATAATTGGTCAAAAGGATATTCTGCATCTTTTTGCACTAGATAAATTCATTTCTGTGTGCATCTCCAGAAATAATTACTCCTACATGATATATAGTATACATATATATATGTACAAAATTTCATTCGGACCAACTATTTTGCTTGGTAAAACAAGAGCCAACTCTAGACCAGAACAAATGAAAAGAAAAGTGAAGAAAAATACTCTTTCATCTCTTTGTTTTGCAGCTATGCGAGAGCATAACACCATTAGGCGGACTCGTCATCTCTATCCAGCATTTCCCATGCAACCAGTAAGAATAATGAACCAAACCCATGTTAGCTCTCACTCTAAAATTCCCTTTTATGTCGTAAACTACTCTGTTCCTCGACTCTTGCTTCTGAAGGTGAAGAGCAAGATTTGGCGGCAAATAGACCAAGCTCGACAGCAGATGAACCGGGATCAGCCTTACCTCACCTGGCCTCTGACTAAAGGGTCGAATCACTTGAGTCGCTATTAGATTTTCCAAAAAGTACAACTCGATATCAAGATACTCGAAATTGATCTCAAGCTTTTTGTTCGGGTTGGAAAAATTCGCGATAACTGTCAAGTCGTTGTTTAGAAATTGCAAAGAGTCGAAGTAGATGACGCTAAGGCTGGCTGCTTGGGTGTCGAAAACGGGATTTTTGGGCTTGATTGCTACAAACACGATTATAGTCGTGATTCCAAAGAAAATTAAGAGGAGGCTAAACACCAAGCATAGGATGGCGAGGAACCATATGAGTGGATTTGTTTTTCTAGGTTGTCTGAGAATAGGCTGATGATGATCTCTTGCTCTGAGCTTGGTGATGACTAGAGCATTTTCGGATGTTGAGTTTTGGTGATTTGTATTGGATTTTTTTGATGGGATTATCTGAAAAGGAGATGGTTTTGATTGCTCGAGTGGAGAAGGGATGTATGGTGGTGGTGGGGGAAGAGGATGCATTTTGTTTAGTTTGGGGGGGAAAATGATAAACCAGAAAATGATAATCTTGAGTATGAAGTATGAAGAATGAGAAGGTAAATGGATGAAATTGTTGTTATTTAAATAATGTTGGGAGTGGATTAAGGGCAAAGCAAAAAAAGAGGAAAAACAAGAAAAAAAGGAAAAAGAGAGAAAAGAACCTTTTGAAGGTTAGTGGGAGCCAATTAGTTCTTTAAAAGAAAAAAAGCAAAAGCATGTGGATCTTAGTATGGATGTAAGGATTTGAATTGTGGTCTGCTTTTTGTTGTTGAACGAAGAGAACACTACAAAATGTAACTAGTGAGGACTTGACCTGTCGAAAATAATCTCATAGTCCATCCATCCATATTTGCTACCACCTTTTTGGTGTTTTTATTTTAATGCTTACTCGCTAAGAAAGTACCTGAGTGGTGGATATTGGGGACATTGAGATTAAATGGGCTTTCACTAGAAATACCAAAATGGGTCGGCTGGCCTGCCCCGCCATCTTGACAACCCTATAATAGGGCGTCCAGCTCAACCCCACCACGTGTCGCAAGCTAGGTGGGCCTCGGAGCATAAGCATTATGTCAAAAATGGGAAAAAAAATTATTGAGATCAACATAAATATGACGAAAAATTTTAGATTTCAAAGACAAAAAAAGAATAAAATAGAAAAATCTATGGTAGAAAAATCTATGGTATTCAAAAATAGTTGGAGAGCTGAGTATCATGCTGCCTAGATCGGCCTGTGTCGAGGACTAAAGTTGTTGCTCTTGCTAGGAGGAGCCGGACCAACGGGGGAACTATACTAGAGATGTTCAAGGTGGTGAAGATGAACAACGAGTACAATGCCATCTTGGGACGAACCGCATTATACAACCTAAAGGCAGTCGTATCCATTTTCCACTATTCGGTTAAGTTCCCCACCACGGACGAAATGGGAGTGTACTATGGCGATTAGAGGGAAGCAAGAAAATGTGCCATGGCAATTCCATCGCTGGAAATCCATACAGTTATGGCCGCAAGCAAGGATCAAAGTTCCGAGGAGAAGCCGAACACCGAGTCTGATGAGTCAACCAAACAGAGGAAGCAGATATCGTCCGGATGCACAACAGCTACGAACTACCTTGTCCCGAGCAGACAAGGGCAAGCCAAAAGGAGCGGACTGGACGACCACCAGAGTTTGAATGACCCGATTGAAGAGGTCCAAGGAAGCCGAGACTGCTAGAAGAGACAGAGAGGAGTTGGGCGAACTACCCGAAGAAGAAGAAGAACTTTCGCTACCTGTGCGCCCAGTAGCAGCTGACGACCTCCTGCCGAATGGAGAATAAGCAAGGGAGAGCGCACAGGACGAGGCGAAAGTTCTGGACGACGAAGATCGGACGGCCGACAGATGCTGCAGACCGGGGAAAGAACCGATGGAAGAGAAAGACGAGCTGGATCCGAGAGATTCATTCAAAGGCAAGAAGGCCGACCGCGGCGAACCGAGCGAGGATGCCGAAACTATCTATCTGGACGTGCCCCATTGCACCAAGCAGTTGCGCATAGGGAGGAATCTCCAAGAACCCGTCCGATCCGAACCCCGTACAGACTACAGAGGCCCCAGGTTCGGGTTACACGGATACAGTTGGCCTTGACCGTGTGGCCCAAAGTTGTCACAATTCTGTTGGTTCCGCGGAATTTATGGCGTACAAGAGACGTTTCACCTTTTTGCATCTCTTCAGATTTGAATCATTGTGCCCCTTTAACACTAAATTCGAGACTTATAAATACCGATACTCCCATTTTGAAAATTGACTCATTCAATTTGGTGAGGAGCTGTGAGAAGTGCCAGACGTTCGCCCCGAATCTAAAGCAGCCGGCCTAACCGCTCATGTCAATTTTCAATCTGTTGTTGTTCGCTAAATGGGAATAGATCTGATTGGTTCGCTACCAACAGGAAAAGAAGGAGTCAAATACGTGGTGGTGGCAGTTGACTACTTCACTAAATGGGCGGAAGCAGAGCCCCTGGCCACTATCACCGAACAAAAAGATGATAGATTTCTTGTGGAAATCAATTGTTTGCCGCTTTGGTATACCACACTCGGTAGTGACCGATAACGGACGACAGTTTGAGGGTAAGAGGTTCGACACGTTTTGCAAAGAACTCGGAATCCGGCATCACTTTTCCACCCCCTATCATCCGCACTCGAAACATCAGGTGGAAACTATTAACAAAATCATTAAACAAGGATTAAAGCTACGCTTTGAAAACTCAAAAGGGTCTGGTCGGAAGAGCTATCGATTGTATTGTGGTTATATCGGATCACAACAAGATCGACGACTGGAGAAACACCGTTTTTGTTAGCATACGGTTCAGAGGCGATGGTTCCGGTCGAAATCGGATAAAAAACTTACCGAGTGGAAAATTTTGAAGAAAAGGCCAATGTCGAGGGAATAAGGACAAATCTTGATCTGATCGAAGAGCTACAGTGTCACGCCAAACTGAAAAATGCGACTTATAAACGGGTGACAGAAAGGCATTTTAACACTAGGGTCAAATCGCGACTCTACAAGCCGGGGGATTTCATATTAAAGAGAGTGATGGGACCGGACCCGGTCCCTCTAAAACCAAAATGGGAAGGCCCATATGTGGTGGACGCCGTACTCAGAAATGGGGCCTACCGACTGAAGTATTTAGACGACACCCCCCTGATGTATCCGTGGAATGTGATGTATTTGGAGAAGTATTATCAATAAAGCGTGTCGATTGTTTCTACTTCAAGGCAAAAAATGAATAAAACCCTATAATGGTAACGACCGGACAACGTTGTCTGACGAAAAATGAATAAAACCCTATAAGGGCAAACGACCGGACAGAGGGCCAGGTGGTCATTAGGCGCTGGAACTCGAGTTCGCTTTTGGTGGGAGAATTGGTTGAATTGTTGTGAGCCCTTAATCAACCGTGTGCGTGGAGTCATACCCGAGGAGCAATTGACGTGGACTGTTTCGATATATGTAAATGAACAGGGACAATGGGATTGGCAGAGGTTTTCGTCCGGGTTGCAGCCATCGGACCTCCTCCGTATCTCCGCTATCCTGCCTACTCAAGCGGGGGCTGGCCATGACAAGTTGTTTTGGGGCTGGTCCACTAAAGACCAGGTTACGACTTGTTCAGCTTAAACCTCCTTGACATAAGCTCCTTGACACAAGCGGTTTGTGACGCACAACACAGGCTGTGGACGATGATATGGAGATGGGTCGGGCCACAGGGAATTCGTTAGTTCTTATGCCTAGTCGCGAAGGAAAGGCTCTTGACAAATGTTGAGCGACATAGGCGCCACCTGGCGGATAGCCAGTTATGCGAGCTCTGTAGATCTCACCTTGAGACGACACTTCACGTGTTACGCAACTGTGATTTTTCCGAACCAATTTTGGAAGAAGTTGGTGCCTCGTTCTTGTTGGGGAGTATTTTTTGGCATGGAACTAGATAAGTGGTTTGAAACAAACTTGTCTAATCAGCTAAATATCCTAGATGAGAGTTGGGATTGCTTGTTTGGCGTCAGCCTGTGGCGTCTATGGCAAGGGCAGAGTAACTTCATCTTTAATGGCATTGCCCCTTTGGTGGACGGTAAGTTAATTGAAGTCCAAAATTATGTTGGCATTTTTCAACAAGCGCTCCAGCCTTCTGAAACTCGGGCACAGTAGAACCCAACGCTTAGATCGCATGATTTGTTGGGAACCTCCGATGGAGGGGTGGATAAAGTGCAATTCCGACGGAGCTTTTAACACGTCCACGGGCATGGCGAGTGGTGGTGGCCTCCTGCGTGACCATAATGGTAGATTTGTAGGTGGATTTGGGATTCCGCCAAGTTCTAGCTGATGTAGATAGCAAAGCGGTGGTTGATATGGTGAATGGGCAGGCTGATGAGGATGGAGTCCACAGTAGCATAGTTCGGGCTATAAAGGAGTTGCCGAGCCAGGAATGGATTGTGGAAATAAGGCATGTTTACCGAGAATCAAACTTCTCGGTGGATTACTTGGCTTCACTAGCGACTACTAGTCCCGGAGGATTACAATGCCTCGAGTTCCCGCCAGCTGGGCTGAAGCCATGGCTCGAGCACGACTTTGTCGGGCTAGCATACCCACGCAGGATAGCTTCATCTTCCCTCTCTTCGTACCAAAAAAAAAAAAAGAAAAAAAAAAATTATGTAACAAAATGCAAATGGCAACTTTGATGACTGAATGATTGAAGGATGTGAAATGATGGTGGTATCAGATAGTAACCAAATAAAATCATAACTGTTTGAGTTACTTTACAACACACACATCTCTGAATCCATATATGCTGGATTGATGAATTAATTCGGCTTGATATAACTCATGTATTTAAGAAGAAAGTGCAAATGCAGTCAGCATCACAGAATACACAGAAGAAAGTGCAAATTCACCTTACATTTTTTTTTGTTCGTTTATCTTCAACAGAAATTGTGTATAACACTCACTGAAACCAAGCGAAAACATCAGCATCGCAGAATACCCAAATACTTCAACAAGAGAAGACAACATCCTCTAAACAAACGTATATTATAAAATTTAAGATAGCATCAAAATCCCACACAAATCCCCCTTACCTAATTGCCCATTGGACCCATACAAAATTCACACCATCCAGAACCCTAACCCTTCGAGATGCCTAACCTCCGAAGCCGTACAGCGTGCGGCCCTGCCTCTTGAGAGCGTACACCACGTCCATCGCCGTCACCGTCTTCCGGCGGGCGTGCTCGGTGTAGGTGACGGCGTCACGGATAACGTTCTCCAGGAAGATCTTGAGGACGCCGCGGGTCTCCTCATAGATGAGACCGCTGATACGCTTCACTCCACCGCGACGGGCCAGGCGGCGGATAGCAGGCTTGGTGATGCCTTGGATGTTGTCCCTCAGAACCTTCCTGTGCCGCTTGGCTCCACCCTTTCCCAGTCCCTTGCCGCCTTTTCCCCTTCCCGACATTTTATTTTTCTGTTAAGAAAATTTGTAGAAATTCTTCAGCTGATTTTTCGGTTCTACGATAAGGGAAAATGGATGACTTTGACGGTAATTATATGTGGAGGTCCTAGGGATGAGGATGCTCGAGGGCCGTTAGATTCAGCACGCTATCTACGGTTATGGATGGCGATCCGCGTCATTATGTGAAAGTGATGAGAGTCCGTTGAGTTAAGTAATCGACGGTTTCAGATTAGTTTAAACTCATCGACGAAGATCGAGCAAAGGTGCATTATGCATTGGAAAATGTGGAGTAGAGAAATTATATTATATGTTAGACAATAGTGTGTGTAATAGTATTTCACGTTGTGGAATTCACTTCCTATTTATTCTTTATTTGTTATGTAAATTATTGAGATCTATTAAGGGGTGATTGTTTATGGATTCAACTAGTTTTTATTTGGTTTATTTTTTAATTATATTTAATTTTTAAAAAATTTGGTATGGTTAGTTATTAGTTGATATATTAAAATAATATTTAAATAAAATAATTAAAGTTGATTTGATATAAAGTAGGAAAAAAATGATTGGAAGTGATGAATAGTGAATTACAATTGATGTGGTGTGTAAGAATGATTGGTTGATATTATTTAATTATATTGATAATATTAGAAATAGTGGAGTTGGGTTAAAATTGAGTTAAATTTGAGTTTTGATTGGTTTTTTCACTATTGAAACTATATCCAATCGCCCCCTAAATAATTTCGATTTGAATAGTCAATTCTACTTGGATTTTTGGAATTTTCTGACATTTTCCTCTGGGTACCTTAAAAAGTATCCAGAGGATTTTCGACATAGTTGGACGTTCAAGTTAGTTCATATATTGTTTATAATGTATGTACGATAATGAATAGATATGGCAACAGTTCTAGGGGTGGTATCGGTTCGGTTACCGAACCGATAAGCGTGTATCGATACCGTACCGATAATGTCGGTAACTTCGGAATGCAAAACCGATACCGAATCGATTAAAGTCGGTTATCGAAAATTCAGTAACTGAAAAATCGGTTCGGTTTCGGTTCGGTATCCGTTTTATACCCAAAAAATCGAACCAATTTTGAGCACAAAAAAAAAAATTGCTAGTGTTTGCTTTTCTCGTCATTTTTGTAATTTTTTTCACTTCTTTCTAATTAAATACACACAAAAGACTCACAAATCCATTGAAGGATTAAAAAGCTTAAATTTAACGTATAGAAGTTAGTTTATATATTATTAGATTATGGTTTTTGTGGTAAACGCAATTAATAAAACAATATATTGTTAACATGCAAGAAATAAATTTGTGATACAACTTCAACTAACTTATCTAGTAACGGTGGCACGAGAATAGACTACAGTAACGGTAGCATGCATCTTATTTAGAAGAAGTGAGACTGGTAAACCAATAATGTTCCGATTAGAAGGTGAATGAGACGATAAGTAATGGTATTTTTCTCATCATTTTGAGATTTAGGTAGGATTGAACCCTTATTTCAATTTTTGAACACTACTAATCATTGTTTTAATATTTAAAAAAATATCTTTGTTTTATTTTTTTTTACCCTTATCGGTTCGGTATCAGTTTTGCCGAACTCTTATGGGTTCAAATCGATACCGTACCGATAGTGATTCGGTAACCGATAGTTGATTACCGTTACAAGCGGTTCGGTATGGTTCGGTTTATTTTCTCGTCGGTTTGGTTTGGTTCGGTTCCGTTTCTGGTTTTCGGTTAAAAAATGTCAGCCCTAAACAGTTCGACCTGGAAGCCAACGGGTTCGGGTCGGGCCAAAACCCTTTGACTACGGATCTTCAACCGACTCAAAGTTTTACTCGAGCCGGTCCAGTTCAACTTTAAAAAAAAAAAGGGAATCGCCGATCCGTCGGCCGGCGAAAGAACCTTTTTTCAAAATTTAAATGTAAAAAAAATAAATTTTTTTCTCAGTTGTTGAATCGTTTTGACCGTTGAGATTCAACGATCTGGATTTCTTTTATATGGTTACGGGTTGGACCAGTTAAGACCCAGAACGGTGGCGTTAAACGGTCAAACTTTTTAAATCGGCCATTGGATTATTCTTACCGTTGATATCCAACGGTTAGGATGCAGCTGAAACGTTTGAACCGTTTGTTCGACCCTGTAGGGGTTGTTCCCGAGTAAAAAAAATCTACAATAACACCCTCCCCTCACTTCTTTTTTACACCAATATTATTCTTGCTATAATCTCTCCTCAATAATGTCTCATTTCTCTCATTTATTCTATAAGTGTTATGTTTTTTTTATAAATACTATTTAAGTTAAAAAAAATGTGGAGTTCTCTTGGAGGACGGCCACCGAAGTGAATAAATGCAACATACAAGGGAGATTCAACGCATCTTTAAAACTATTGATGATAACCATGATGGCTTCGAGTTTCAGGACTTGGAGTCGGGTGACGATCCTAAAGTAGGTCAACAGATGGCCGCCAGACCCTGGATTGGGGGTTGACAATTGACACCCGATATATTTACAAGGCTTTTACGAAGGCGCCTGATACGAAAAATTGTGATAAGCATTTTATATGTATTTGCAACTACTGTCCGCCCAGCGCTAAGAAGAGCTACCCCTTCAAAACTGACAATGGGTACGGAACCACGCAGCGACACGTACAGACCTATCATTCAGCTGAAATCGAACGATCCAAATCCAATTCTCGAGAATTAGCGTTTCACTTGCGGCTAGATCTGTCGGAACATGTTCTTATTCTTTATTTCAATACATTGATGCAAACCGTAGACGTCATCTAGCTAAATTTGTTTATGATTTATCTCTTTCTTTAGGTTTTGATGATTCTGACTTATATGAAAAATTTTCAAATGGCTTTAAATTCATCTCTTTTTTAAGTTTTGGTGATTCAGATTTATAAGAAAAATTTACTCAAATGGCTTTAAACCCGATTGCGTCTTGGATTCTACGTACTACTCTCACCCGTGATTTCAAAATATAGTGGGAGAGAAAAAAATAATTTTGGCATAAACATTTGAAGTCTAAATTAAAGAGTTTCTATTTATTGTAATATTTGATTCGATCATTGGCATGATAATCATTATATGGGAATTACTTGTCAATGAGTAGATGATAGTTTTTGCAATACAAAAACGTTTAATTGCTTACGCGGGATTTAACAACTGTCACACTCTGCTAATATCACTCGTTTAACTGCACATATGTTGAATGCTTATATAATTGGTCATAAACTTTTTTTCCATTTCTTTTGATAATGCTAGTGCTAATACTACTTCTTTGACTGAGCATAGAGAAATTTTTCCTCCTCTTGTTGGTGGATTTTTTTTTTCATATTCGGTGTATGTGTCATGTCTTTAATCTTTGTGTTAAGTCGGGTTACAATACTTTGAGAGAGTTGGTCACACTCGTTAGGGAGGCCGTTATATACTTGCAGCCGCGTCAAAAAATGAAAAAATGGGGAAAACATTGTAAAGAAAATAATGTTGTACCCAAAAAATTCCAATAAGACGTTTCTACCCAAAAAATTCAATAAACAAAAACATGTGAATTTTCCTATTAATCAGAGACTTTTTTAAGAGTTCTGAGCATCGTGATTGGTTACTTCGGAAAATTGGGAGAAATGTATAACTCTTATTCAACTTTTAGGAGCATTTCAAATTGTTACTAACATACTTTCTAGGGTTAATTATTATCCTACTGCTTAACTTGTCATTGCTCATTGTGTAGCCTAATGTGGGATTTAGAGATATCTTTGTTAGTTGTCCTTATAAACATCGTGACCTTATTAATTATATGTTTCTAAAATGCTAAAAATATTATTTTTACATTCTCAATACAGTGGGATGTTGTTAGATCCATCACTATGTGAAAATGATTGTTCAACCAACTCAACACTTATTATGAACTTATATATTGTTGATATTCGAGCTAAATGACGCAATTAGCAAAATCCGCACTTCAATCCTGATCCCAGGTCGGTAGGTATGCTACAAACCCTAGGTGGGCGGATCAGGCCCAGGAACTAGATCGGTAACATTATTCTGGCGAGGGACCATATGGCATCAAACGGACTGATCGGAATGGGCCGAGGGCAAAAGTAATAAAATAAGCATTGCATGCGCCCAAATGATAACAAATGGGACGTCACCGCCTTAGTCCTACAAGGCTATCGATTCTAGCTGCCTAGAGCCTAGCGCCACAATAAATGCGCTCCATACTAATTTAATGCTTGATAGTGACCCAGTGAACGTAACCGCATGTCCATTACTATAAATACCGTACGAGTATTTGAGGAATCGAAGGAAAAATTAGTGTCTTTTCTTGTGAGGCGCGAAATCGAGTTAGAAATTGATGAATCGTGCTGCAGCTTAAAGGTTTGAGCTGTAATTTGATGAATTGTATTAGAGAATGCATCTCCGATTGGATGTGCGCTCTGCCAGGACACATAACGAGTTAAAAGGAAAGGACTGAAAAACGCGGCGGCATAGGAACCACGGGACCCCCTATTAGAAGGATTCGAGATGTAATTTGATGAATCGTGCTGCAATCTGAGAAATTGAGCTTCAATTTGAGGAACCGAAGGAACATTTAGGACTTTTTTCTCAGATGCAAAAATGGGGAAAAACAAAATGGAGTAAATGAAACCCTAAATTCGATGTTAGTTAGGTTCGTTCACTACTTAACGGAAAATTGACGGAGAATTGACGGTCGGGTACTAACGTTGCTAACGGTTCCATACTATGGGTACTGAAATTGCCATAGTGTGAAAGGTGAGTACTGACTTCAAAATGGTCCATAGTTTGGGTATGAAAATTGCAATTCACCCATTATTATATTTACAACCGAATTATATTATACGAATTTGTATTAGCATGCTTACACAAATTTACTATTGTAGGGCGGTCGAATTACTTGTATTATTCTATTGTTAATATTTTCACTTTCATCAATGATTTAGAGAATGATGATTCTTTGTATACCATTAAAAACTATTAAGAAGAGAGCAATATCAGTCTATACAAATCAAATATTGTCACACGGAGAATCATCATTCGCGGGCAAAAATGTTATGTAAAAGGAAGAGTTCTATAATTTATGAATTTTTGATATTTTTTTTTATTGTCATTATGAATATTTTATTAAAAAAACTATATTAAATC